GATTGACTCTCTTAAGCAACTACTTCATCAAGAATTTGATGTCAAAGACTTGGGAAAACTATGTTATTTTCTGGGCATTGAGATACTACAATCTAAACATGGGATTTTTATTTTCCAAATGAAGTATGTTCCTGATCTTTTAGGCAAAACTGGGAAACTAGGTGTTAAACCTATTGAATAAAAACATAAGATCAGTGTAGAAGGTGGAGAGTCACTTGAAGATAAAGGTATGTTTCAACGATTGATTGGGAAACTACTCTATATTTTCCTCAATGACCACACATTTCTTATACAGTCAGTGTTATTAGCCAGTATATGCATTCTCCCAAAACCACTCACCTACTTGTAGTTGAGAGGATACTGACTTATTTGAAGAGATGCCCAATTAGAGGTATACTCTTTAAGGATAATGGTCACATGTAAATAGAAGTTTACACAGATGCTAATTGGGTTGGGTGTGTTGATGATAGGAGATCTACTTCTAGGTATTGTACTTTTGTAGGAGGAAATCTTGTCTCTTGGAGAAGTAAGAAACAAAATGTTGTTGCTCGCTCAAGTGTTGAAACTAAATACAGATATATGGAAAATGGTGTAGCTGAAGTGTTTTGGTTGAGATCTCTATTTGAAGAGCTGGGTATTGCTTATGAGAAGCCCTTGATGCTGTATTGTGATAATCTGATAGCTATTAACATTGCCCATAATCCAATACAACATGACAAAACTAAGAATATTGAATTGATTGAATCAACACTTTATCAGAGAGAGAGAGAGAGAGAGAGCTACTTCTCAAGAAGTATGTCTTCTATATATCGTTGCCAATATGCAGTTTGCATATCTCTTCACTAAGGCAGTTACAAAGACCAAATTGGAGTTTGACTTATGCAAGTTGGGAATGACTAATATCTACTCTCAACTTGAGGGGGAGTGTAGAGATGTAGAACAATAATGTAGTCCCCACTGCTGCACGTCTATTTATATTGCTGTTAGTATGCTAGTTGGATTAGTTGGTAGTTATTTTCTGTTATTTATAGCTTATGTAAGCAGTAGGGGCAATACTAGTTTTTACCTTGTTTTAAAATCATTAATATCAATAGTTGAGTGGGGCGACAATCTCAGTTATGACCCACACTCTTCTCTAAATCTTGTCTCCTCTTCGTGTTCTCTCTTCTTCTTCTTTTATTCTCTACGTTCTTTCTTGTTTAATTCAGATCTAAACTAAGACTGATTGCAGTCTTACTAGACAACTTTTATCAATGATGGAAATGTAATAGAAAATTTAATGTCAAATTAGAAATCATACTATTTTTCTTTTTGGGTGGTGGGATAGTGGTTTGGGTCCAATGGATTAATTGATAATAGGATAGTTAAATAATAAATCTTTAAAAAGTAATGAAAAAGTACATGTAATCAAAATAATATATAAAAATTGGGTTTGACTACGATATTGGAAAGATATGATATCTAAATTTTTTACCAATCAATTGGTATAAAAATGTGGTAGCCAATTAGATGTTATTTATCAAAATTCATGGGTGGGTTTTGATTGGTCAAAACCCCTCTGGTACCATGTCTTTCCCACATCATAAATTTTTATATATTAATTATTTCAAAAAAAAGAAGTGTAATAAGTAACAATTATTTATATAATATAGATGGAGTATATAATTTAAAAATGACCCGAAAGAAAAACTATTTTCTTATTTAAACTGTGGGTCAATGATCCAACTTATCAAAGAAACTCATGATGTCATAATTAAAAAAATAAATATTTAGAAAAAGATAGAGAACAACAAAGAAAAGTATATAATTTTGTCAAAAATTTTTAGGAACATTTCTAGTGTTATATATTCATCATTTTAAATAAAAATTATTTTTATTTTTGATAGAAATGGAATACAAAATTTAATAATAATAATAATAATAATAATAATAATAATAATAATAATAATTGTTATTATAATTTAAAATTTTCATTGCAATATGTGCACATTTACTACAAGTATTTAAGTTTATTTTTAATCATATTATTACTTTTGTTAATATTCAATTTCTATCTTACTATGATATGTCTAAAATTTAAGTAATTAATATGAAAAAAAATTCTTATGTGCAATGCACACCGGTTTAATCACTAGTTATATCAATAAGCTTGAACACATATATGCGATACTCTTTGGATATGCATGATTATAGTAGAAAGATATGGATATGCTTGAATACGTTAAAGAAACTCTTATAAATCCCACAAGTGCATTGATAATATTAAATTTAGGGTTGAAATAACTAAAAAAAGATATAAATACATAAAAATATACGCACTTTAATAGTTTATATGAAAAAATACGTTACAGGCAATTGAGAATCCATAATGAGTTTCACACATTATATGTCAATATTTAATGAATCATTGTTTCCTTTGGGTTGTTATAACTCACATGTAAAATAGTATCCAGCTTTCCCAACCAGAAGTGTGGTGTCATCTTTAGTATCTGTGTTGCAACTTGCAACCACCATATTATACTGAAAACAAATCGTTCAAGAATCCAAATATTTAATTACTTTTCAATTAATTCTGTTAGTGTACAAGTGACGCATCATGATCATCTCTCATGTTCTCAACCCTTCAACTCTGAAAGAATTAAAGGGCTCTTTGCCTTCAACTTTTGCTGTGAAATTTGAGGGGAATTGGAACCTGCCTTTAGATTTACAGACATAATTACGCAGTTGATAGTTGCAATATAATGGATGCCGATTATGCTTACAAAAGTCAAAACAATTGCAAGCCTGCAAATTACATGGTTTTACACTCCATATTTGTATTTGTACTCCTTCCAAATAAGATTGAGATTGATGAATTAATTGGAGACAACTTACAGATTAGAGAAACAGCGTATTGGGTGGATAATCATGCTCATATGTGTCTAATGAAGTGCATGCAGATGCACAAACCAAAGGTAATTCCTCAAGTTTAGTGATTATTTAATATTAATATTTCATATGAAGTTTTGTCCCTAGAGGCTTAGTTTGGAAGGAGTATAAATACAAATATTTACTGTGTAAATACATACAAAATACAAGGTTTTGCACTCTACATATTTGTATTTGTACTCCTTCCAAACTGAACCTAAGTTTATCGACTTTCTCTTGGGCTGCAGCCTGCAGCGGCAAATTAATACTTTGTTTTGATCATCTCTGATTCCCTTATGGCAGCATTATTTGGGGAATAATAATAGTATGGACTGCAATGTTTTTCAGATTGACCAATAATTCCATGTTCATTTTTCAGATTTAGGTGGGGACTAGGAAAATTTTATTTTCTTGGGTACCACTTATCCGGGTAAGTGATACCCATCTCCTAGGTGGTTGAATAACTTTCTCACATAGGGGGAAAGTTGCTAACACTTGAATGGGACAAAAATGACCCCTTTAATAATATATTTTTATGGCTAAAATGGTCATTACCTTATTTACCTAAGAAATAAAAGAACATGAATGAATGCACTTACCCGGATAAGTATTGTCCAGGAAAAACTTACCCATGTAATTGCATTTACCCAGATAAATAACTTACCAAAAAGCAAACGGGACCTACATGTAGAGACTCACAGGATTGTCCAATTCAACATGTTAAAAAGTATATATATATTTTGTTTCAAGAGCCTCCCAGTAGATGATAGACCCGTCTAATGTATTTTGGCTTAATTATGAATGACTAGTTTCTTCACCATGCAAAAAAAGGTATCATCCAAATGGTAATCATTAACCAATCGACTGGATTCATTCAAATTCACTGACTATAAAATAATTTTCCAATATCACAGGAATTTGTACACTAAAGCTTGAAATTGAATCTTGGAAATATGTTTGTTTTGCTCCTCTGAAACTGTAGATATATATAAACGTTACAATTTTTGTACTGGTACAACAGTCTTTTTCATGGATTTATAAACTATGGCAAACCCATGGTTTCACTTCAACTGGTCAATCAATTTAAACTAAAATATATGCAATTAATTGTTTCTATTAATATCATAGCAACTTGGTTTAGGTCACCTCCCTTTATTGCAGACCATGTGAAAAGTGGAAACCACTCACCGGTCACTACTTTAAAGGGACACTACTTCCTCCATCAACATCATACTCTCAACTACATGAATTGTTCTAGTGATAGTGTACTACTGTCTTTTGGAGTAGTTTGAATCTGCTACTAACATTTATTTGGATGGTTTTTCTTCTTCTTCTTCTTGTTTCTTGTTTCAGAAGAGTCTCTCTTGGTTGAGTCAAATACCAATAAACTTCAGATATGGAAGCTTAGGCTTAGTTTGGGAGGAGTACACATACAAATATGTATTATACAAATATATACAAAATAATACAAAATGCAAGGTTTTGCACTCTACATATTTGTATTTATACTTCTTCCAAACTAAGCCTTAGTTACTCTCTGTATGATGCCTATGCCGATCTCTCAGCTGCTGTGGGAATTCAATCTTCCGAATCTGATTTTGCTATTTGAAGTTAACTGAAAATTTTCCTCAGGGAAATTGTTAAGACAGGATGAATGACTTAAGTCTTCAACCCAAACCCAGGATTGTAGACAGATGTGAAATTCAAAACTGTATCATTTACCTCAATCTAAATTCTTATCGTAGATTGTAACTTGATCCCTCCATATTAATTCATCTCCTGATTTTGTTTTAGGGAAAATTCTCGATTAGTATCATATATTTTGGGTCTAGTGTCATTTTGGTTCCCAAACTTTAAAATGCGACAATCCAATATTAAACTTTTAAAATGTGACAATCCAGTATCTGTTAATCAGCCGTTAAGTGACATTTTAAATCAATTCAACAACATTCATTGAACATATACAGAACCCATCAACCCATCAATGTTAGTCTGATTTAGACCACCGGACTGGACAATTGAACGGGTGACCCAGCGTGCATTCCAGTTTTCTGTATGTAAAAATATAGAGTATGACATTTGGGAAATGGGAATTGATAAAAGAAAAGAAAAATTCCTCTAGATAAAGCAACATGGAGCATACACAATACACAAGGGAGAGAAAAATACATGCATCTCCACCGAGTTCCCAAACTATAATACTCTAAAGAAAGAATTGCTTCTACTTCTAGCCTAACAACCTCCCTGAATATATAGGTTGTATAAGAACTACCCTCAAAAATAAAACAGGCAATCAAATTAATACAGAGGAGTTACAACATGACTATAAATCAAATCAAAGAGCAGAGAAGAAGAAAAAAGAAGTCTGTGAAAACAGAGACAGAGATCGGGCCAGCATCTCTCTCTATCTCTACACCTGTTGAGACCGAGCACCATATCCATTAACCCCATTTGCTCCATGGTGGGACTTCTCAGAATTCCTCGACCTTCTCTTTAGAACTATCTTCCATGTAATGGCCTCCAACAGCAAAGCATTGAAACCCAAGAATGCAATTATCCCAATGTATGCTCTCTTCCAGTTCTCATTATCAAGATCCAATATGTCGAAGCCTTTGAAGATGTTGACGACACTAAGGATGATGACACTGTAACCAATTGAGTGGTGGTAAATGTTCCAGTAGAATCTGTACTTGTGATCCTTCTTGGGTCTCAGAAGCAAGGCAAAGACCTGTATATATGACACAAGACAAGAAGCATCTGTTAGAAGGTTTTGATTTTTAATTTAACATCTTGGTTCATCATCTACAATAGATAGAGCAACAGCATGTACCTGAAGAGTGCCAAGGCAGAAGAGGACGATCCCTATGTTCCTGTGGGCACGATGCACAATGCCGGAAGAATCACTGCCGAGTTTGATTCCGGTAGCCCATCCGGCAACACCAACGATGTAGGCAGAAGTCTGGCAAGCAACATGAAGGTAAAACCATGCCGGATCTGCAGACTTGAATACCTTCAAGTATCTTGCTATGATGGCACCGAGAGGCATCAACGTACCCCAACTGACGGCATTTAATACTCCATGAACCTGATATCCAGTTGGGTTCCAGAATTAGTCCTCAAGAGTTTGAGATTTGATTAAAATAACTAGAGAAATTTTTTTAGGGAACTAATGAATCACTTACATTCCTCCTCCTCCTGATTGAGCTCCCTGTGGTTGTCGCCTCTCCTGAAAGTAAATTCAGAGTCGCTCTAGAATTGACGTTGTCTCCACTGGTTGAATGAATGGAAGGAGTATTCTGACTAAGTGGACCCACTTGCCAGAGGTGATTCACAGTGGGGCTGTTGTTGGGTAATTGCAGAGTAGCAAAAATTATCATCTCTTCGTTACCATAAGTCGCCGATAAATCTGAGACTTCAAAACTAAGACTCCCCTGCTCCAGACGGGTACTATAGCTAGTCACAGGTGATGTGTAAGCAAGGACGGTGCCGTTGGAGTGCTGGTAAGCAACAAGAGACTGTGCTCCAATCATTCCAGTCGAGCTTGGATTGATAGCCCAAGCAACCCAATTAGAGGAACTAACGCCGGTGTGTCTATAGGCGATTCGGAGGGTTCCAGATGATTCATCGTAAGTCCAGTGGAGGAAGGAATTCAAGACGGGAAGACTAGTGCAAGAACTGAACTGCGTATTACTGGAGAAGGAATAGCTTGAGCAGGCTTGAGCAGAGGACGAAGGGTTCCCTGTAGTGTTGTTCTCCGTCGTGGTGGTGTTCTCTGTGGTTGTCGCCCCTCCTGAAAGTAAATTCAAAGTTCCTTTGGATTTGACATTGTCTCCACTGGTTAAATGAGTGGAAGGAGTGTCCCCTTCAAGTGGACCCACTTGCCAGAGCTGATTCAAAGTGGTGCTATTGTTGGGTAATTGCAGAGTAGCAAAAATAGTCATCTCTTCGTTCACATAAGTCGCCGATAAATTTGAGACTGTAAAACTAAGACTCCCCGGCGCCAGACTGGTACTATAGCTAGTCACAGGTGATGTGTAAGCAAAGGCGGTGCCATTGGAAAGCTGGTAAGCAACAAGAGCCTGTGATCCGATCATGCCCGTCGAGCTCGGATTGATAGCCCAAGCAACCCAACTAGAGGAACTAACCTTAGTGTGTCTGTAGGCAATTTGGAGGGTTTGAGATGATTCATCGTACGTCCAGTGGATGAAGGAATCCAAGACGGGAAGATCATTGCAGGAACTGAACTGCCTGTTGCTGGAGAAAGAATAGCTTCGGCAGGTTTGAGCAGAGGACGAAAGGAAGAGAGAAATAAATACACATAAAAACAGCACAGGACTGAAAACTCTAGCCATGATGAACGGTGTGGTCGATAAACGAGAGAATTCCGAAGTCCGTAGATTGTGGCTTTATTTTATGATTCCCTCTGTAGGTCTACTCAGTTTCAGGATGAAAGATTCTTATTGATTATTACAGTAGTAGAGATCCCAGTTGGAATTGTCCCCCAAAAAAATAAGAAATGGAAAAAGAAAGAATTTCGTCGGAGAAGAAAAACCCAAACTCCTCTGTAATCTAAAAGACGGAAACAAAACAGGAATTCAACGTACCCAGATAAGATCAAGAGCTGGAAACCGGTTTTAAGAATCAGTGCGTCTCCAAAGATCCTGGAATCGATCAATACGGGCTTTCTCCTATCAGGGTACGAGAGAACCTGAAGCTGTCTCAAAGTGGAAGGAGTTCAAAAATGTGGGAAGAGAAGGACCAAGGATGTGAGGGAGAAAGAGGAGGGCGATAGGGTTTATAAAAGAAAAAGAAGCAAGGCTGTTGACTGGTCTGAATGGAAAGTTCTATTTGAAGAGAGAACAGAGAAGAAGGCTCTAACATGCAATGGTCATGGGGGAGAGGGTTGAAGGTAGAAAGTAGAAACAGTCAGGAAAGTCGCTCCTGCTTTCATTATTGGCTTTATTATATTACTATTTATTTAATTAATTCCTGTAATATCTTTTCCTTATTGGGTCTTACTTCTTCTTAATAACCTAATACCTAACCACTTTTTTCTTGTTTTCCCACCTGTGCACTCCGTTCAAATTGGACGACGAGAGAGACAGGGAGAAACTTAGAAAGAGGGATTTTCAACGAAAGTCGGCTTGGACTAAACTCAGGGTCGGGGAGTTCCGCGTTGTATACTATTCATACATACATGATACAATCATGGACTTGTTCAGTTGTTTCTTTTTGGTTTTTCAATTCTCAGGGTTCGTTTCGTATGCTTAACTCTTAATTGAGCTGCTTCCTGGAAAGCCCGTACTGTACTTTGAAAAATCCCCCCACTCCCAACTGTACTTTTGAACCTAAAAATTCTTACCCTGAACTGAATCATCATTCTATCTTTATCATTTTAGGTTCGATTTAGAAAGAGTATAAATGCAAATATTATATCATATACAAACAAAATAATACAAAATATAAGGTTTTACACTCTATATATTTATATTTGTAATTACAGTTAGATAATAACTGAAGATGGTATTTTTTTTAGAATCTTGAAAAGGGTAGATTGATAAAACCTCCCTCCAAGTTATCAATCATTGCTAATTTTTTTTTTTTTAATCTTGGTAATTGTAATCATCTCCTCTGAACTTTTTGATATAGTTGTAAGTATAATATTATAACAAGAGGCACAAAAATGACTAAAATGCTTATATAGGTATTTTGACTAAAATGTTTATTTTTCAAATTCTCTTCATATAAATCCCTACCCCAAACTCTTTCAATCTTTTCTACCAAAATTGATTTATATTACAAATTTGCCTTTCATATCAATCACTCAAAAGTAAAACTGCAACTTTAAACTCTTTTTTTTTTTTTTTTTGCTGTTGTATCTTGGATATTTTCCGTGTCTTTTGTTATAGGATTTTAATAAAAGGGGTCTGCTTGCAACTATGTCAAAAAATTCATAAGAGGTGATTGCAATTATCAAACTTAAAGGGAGATTTTAATAACAGTGAAAAGCTTAAGGAGAGGTTTCAGCAATATATCTTTTTGAAAATGTTGAATTGAAAAGTTTATTAACGAATATATGATTTTAAGATGTGGGCCCCTTAATGACTGGAATTAGGAAGAATTGTCTTTGGAGGAGTTTTTCTTTTTTTTTCATTTTTATTTTGACACAAATAAGGCAAACAAAACAGCAACTCAGAGCATCAATCAAGATGGAGAATCCAAATCAGAAGACAAAGCTACCACGATCATGCTGGCAGCTGAAGTCCAGGTGTACACATGTTTGACAACTGGAGCATGTTAGAGCGAATGTCTGCGCCAATTTATCAAGACTTCATGGGGTGGTACAGTGCACCGAGAAGGGGAGAACTTTGGATAGGAGTTCACTGCATCCATGATCAAGGATCTGGTCTGCTGAGGAGAAGAAGTAGACACCTCCAATATAGAATTAATAACAATGAGAGCATCTCCCTTTATTTCAACATGGTCCATCTTTAAAGAAAGCAAGAAACAAACTGCTTCTAACTAGGGTGCTCACGGTTCGGTAGTTTTTTTTTTTTAATCGAACCGGTATTACCAGTTTTTGGAAAACTAGTAACTAAAACTAAATCGAAATCAGTCGATTAACTGGTTGATCGGTTCGATTTGTCATTTTTTTAGTTTTTTTTATTTTTTTAATAAATATTATAAATTATATATAAATATATAATAAAAAATTATAAATGTATATAAAATATTATATTTTAAATAATAAATAATATATCATATACTATAAATATATATAATATACATGAATATATATGTATATAAAATATATAGAAATATATATATATACCAGTGGGTTCAGTTAACTGCTGGTTTTCTATATTGATTAACCAAAACCAAATTGGTACCTTTGGTTTTTTAAAAACATCGAATGAACTGATTCGATTAACCACCAATTTTTTATATTGGTTAATCAAAACCGAACTGCTACCTTCATTTTTTTTTAAAAACACCAAATCAGCTGATTCGATTAACCGATTTTTTGATTCGGTCGATTTTTTCAATTGGTTTGGTTTGGTTTTTCGTTTTTTTTTTCTCACCCCTACTTCTAACAAAGCCATTATGCAGTTCTTTTGGGGATCCGAGTTATATAATTAATTTTTGGTTTATGATGAAAAAGTTATAACAATACAAATATTGTTGTAGAAATTCAGAAATGTGTAAACGATATGAGGGGTGAGAGAATTGCCATATCTTTGGGTTACAGGCTTTGTGGAAAGTATAAAATCGTGCAAGTACTATTTAATTAATGTAATTGACTTTCTTTTCCCGTCGTCTATCTTGTTTCCAAAGAAAAAAATCGTGCAAGTAGAATTTCATTTGTGATTGGATATTTCGGCGATGTAATTTGCAATCATTTGAGAGCTTGTGTTTTGTTATAATTTTTTGAGATTAACAATTGTGCAAACACCCTGGGAACACATTATACATTCCCGATCTGCTATTCAGATATTGTTCTCACATCCTTATCGACATAGAGCACCACGTGATAACATGTTCCTATGAATGACAAAGAAGATATTCCCCATATGCAGCTGTTATATCTCATCATTCTCGTGTAAAGATGTGGGGACAGTTTATGGGTAATAAATCAAAGCCCCACATTATACAGCCTCACATAAGGAATATCTCTTCATGAATATGTGTAGATGGATACATGTATCATAAGTAGGGGTGTTCACGGTTCGGTTATCTAAATCATGGACATATTTTGCAAATAGAATCAATGGTACCAGTTTTTCCATCTCTCTAAACTGAAATCGAATCAGTATCATTGGTTAATCGGTCTGCCAGTTTTGGTTTTTGACTAGTTTGGTTCTTCGGTTTTTCAGCTTTTTATATTTATAATATATATTATATAAATATATGCATAATATTATATTATAAATAATAAATGATATATAATATATTATAAATATAATATCAGTATATATGTATATATATAATGAATATATATTTATATATAATATATAAAAAAATATGTGGCATATATTAAAAAATATATAAAATATATATATAAATATATATACTGGTCTGTTCGGTTAACTGGCAAATTTTTTGTAGGTTAACCAAAAACCAAAATAATCCTTCGGTTTTTCAAAAATTCCAAACCAAAACCGAATCAATTAATTCAATTAACCACATTTTACAGTTTGATTTTTTCGATTGGATTCAATTTTTCGATTTTTCATGAACACCCTAATCGTAGGGTGTTTGGACAAGTTTTGATTTCAGAGGATGTAAGCTCCTCCTGCAAAGATCCGCAAACCCAAATCATTGTGATTGGGTCTGCTGCCATCAAACAATTCCAACAAAGTCAAGACATAAATGCAATGTAAAAGAGTTTCATGGTTAGCGGTAGGGATCCGTTACCAACACAATGCTCCCAATACCGTCCCATCATGCCACTGTAGCACAGTTGCAACCCTCTCCCTTGTTATCTATGGGAAGTCCGGAGTATAAAAGGTTCTACAGCAAATCTCACGCATAAAAAGGTTCTACTTTCATGGTGAGCCTCAATTTCTTTAGTCAGATGTGCGGTGTTAGAACATGTTTCGTTGGAAGGATATATGGGGAAATGTTCTCGATGTAATGACTGCAGTGGCTTGTTGTGATACTGTTGGAAGCATTTATTGATGGCAGATCCAGATCTGATCTCCATTGTTAGATGAAATGGGCTCTATCCATCATATCCATCATTTAAGATGTATATACCTTTCCACCTATTTATAGTTGGCTAATTATGATTGTATATAAATAGTTCCACTTAATTTAAAAACCTCTCCTGAAGTTTTTTGACAATTATAAAAACTTTTTTTTTAGTTTTACTTTAACAATAACCTCCCTTAAATTTAAAGATCTCGACAAAACCTTCCCCCATTCTCTTCTCATTGGTTTTTCTCGTTGATTTCTTCTTCTTCTTCTTCTTCTTCTTCTCTCTCTCCTCTGTCCCCACTGTCCACACTCTCTTCCATCGAATCGATTGAATCAGAGCAACCGAAGATACTGTTCATCTTCTTCACGATAGCCACGAATAGAGTTTAAGCAATTGTCAGCAGTGACCTCCTTAAAGCTCTCTCGTTCTCTCATAGGAACTTGAGGTTTTAGCTAAACCTACTAAAAATCAATTTCAATCTGCTGCCCAGCACAAAGCAACAGAAATGAATAGTGAATGAAAAAGAACCTGCAATTGGTCACCACCATGCGCTTCAACCTCTCCTCACAAGACGAGAGGACCAAAACACTAAAATTCTTAAATGAACGCGACATCAGTTCCAACGCCTCGTTGGTCACCACCATGCGCTTCAACCTCAACTCCTCTAACCACGGGTAAGCCTCAGCCATGGCCGAGATCTAGGGATACACATACCCTCCCCCTCCCCTCCGCACGAGATTGAAATCAGCAAAATGTGGTTTCCCCTTGAGCAACATAGATCGGACCTCTAAGAACCGCCTGATCAGTTGTAGAAAGAGCTTGTCCCTTATGTCAATCTCTCTCCTTATTGAATCAGATCAATGTATGATTTGGTTTCTATTATCTCATCTGTCGTTTCTCTAATTTCTAAAATTTCTTAAATTCTATTCTGGTTCGGGTTGGAGTCATCTTTTCTCTCCATTTGTTTAGTGTTTTTCTGCTTTTCTTTTAGCATCTCTTGTGGGTTTCAACTTTCAAGTTAATTTGGTTATTGTTTTTTTGATTTATTGAGTTTAACCTTTACCGATTTTGAGTCGTAATTTTATCAATTTTTCATGTGAATCAATGACGGAAGGAAGGTTTTTGTTGAGATTTTTAAAAGTTCTGGAAAGATTTTTAGTAAAATAAAACTACAGAGAAGGTTTTATGATTATTAGAAACTT